GTTTATGGTTTATCAAGAACTGAAAATATGTATGAATGTGATAGGGAAATCACTTTGTTTTTTATCACATTGAGGGGTAACTAAATTAATTTTTAGTTACAGGTCATTTACTATTTCCAGTAAGACGATCGATAATTAAAAACATTGAGTTATCAGGGTCCGTAGTCCATCAGTAATGAGTATTTTTTATAATTTTATAATTTCTTCACTTGAATATATATATATATATATATATATATATATATATATATATATATACATTTGTGTTTATGATTCCGAACAAATGCAATATAGTGAATGCTTCATTTTGTTTCAGGGTAACTCATGGTTATTTTAATAGAAGTGAACTGTATCTCTAAGTTTAGGTCGGTTGATATATATTGTAATCGTGATGAAAGTTGTAATTCACATGCAATTCGGATTGCTATAATTATGAATGTTACTTTTACGAACTGTCGAACTATGATGTCTATCCTAACGAATCACTATATATTATATCATTTTATGTTGTGAAACTGATTGTCAGTAGCTGTCCATAATTTTACACCAAAGAAGATATACCGTGACCTAGTCGAATGGAAGACTTTGGTCGACAGAATTCGATCAGCCTCAAATACTAGATAGTCAATGATATTGGTTATGTCTCAGTGACATCCGTATAATCATATTGAAATAGGAGTAGGCTGACATATTTGATGTAGATCTTTCTTTGTTTTTATTCATCCAGTAATTTATCTATTAAGCAATATTAATATTCGACCTTATTATGTTTTTGTCGAAATCACGAACCGATCTAAGGTAGACAGCTCTTGAAAACCTGGTTCATGATTTCAATGAAATTCAACAATCTCAATTAACCCATATTGACAATTATTGCATTTTATTTTCACTCTGTGAATAAGCTAAACTGGAATAATAAATAATCTTTGTAGTCATTCATCAATCAAGAATATTGTTATTGTGAATTTAAAGTTTGAACCTAACTTGCCCAAACTTTCATTCAATCAAAGTATGTATGTGTATAGATGATTTTGTTACTAAGACGTTTGTATGCGTATCATATAATATGCCGGCAGTAGTAAACGCTTTTGTTACTTAAGAATATACTTCTGATCAATTACAGCATCAATTAACGTATTGAACACACATAAACACTTCATAAGTTTTATAAAATGTATTAGTTAAACAATTAATTCTTATTGTTTTTGTCAGTATTATTGTTTACAAACATGGCCCACTTTTTTAATTGTAAAATATTTGTATTTATGTGAAAATACGATGCTGATTGAAAATATATAACTTTGTTAAATTATATGAAAAAAAGTAGTTTTGTATCAATCTCGTCGTGTTTTCTCTGTGTGTGTTTGCATGATTGTGTTTATCTGTGGTAGTAACAATACCTTCTCATGAATTTGTGAACAAATAATGTTAGTATTTGTGCGTCTGCGCAACATCATATTGTTTTATGGTTCTACATATTTGGTTAATCACAATTCTTAGTATAGTTCACAAAGCAATTAAAACGACTGACTATAGATCTAGATGTATGCATATATGAAATAATTGATTGTCATTCTATATTGACTTGGCCGTTGTGTTTTCTGTTTCTCTGTCTTTGTATTTGTATGTCTATCATATCGATTGCATTCTCCACTAAGTCTGTATGATCACCTATTCTGTTATTTTAAAAAATAGTTACATGCTAGTGTTTCTATGTATTCAGCGTGGTGTACTGTAAGATTAGATACTTGGTTGCTTTTGTTTTATTCAGCATTGAACTTGTTTTTTGTTAGATAAGAATTTCTACTGTGCTGGTTCCTAGCTTTATATCAGTCATATAACCTTTCTGTCTCTAATTGACGATCATGTTACATTAAGAATTGACTAAAATTAATACTATGAATCCAGTGACCTAAAGGTACATAAAAATGTTTATGCTGCGTTCGATCTCATATGTTATCGTGTTTGTCCACTGATAGACTAGACGTTCCCTAATGACTGAACAGTTTTCGGTTCCAAGTATAATATTATGGTGGCTAATTTTATTGCTTAAAGCTTGTGTCCTGTATCAACACTAATAGAAAACTGTCATCATAAAGTAGCATGGTAACCAGCTGAAGCTTCTCAGCCATATACTCTTCACATGTTGAAATATCGCAATAAAGTTTCTTATGTTAGATTCGTTTTTACATATGCTAACCACATGCGATTATGCGCCTTAATAACAAGCCTACACATTAACGCAAGCTAATCATTGTTAAATTCTAACCGAACTGTCACTATTGTTGACGTACTTTTCTTGTGGTCTCTCCTTTAAAAAAAAATAATCGATCTAGTTAGAATGAACAAAGTTGGGTAAAAATTTTTATTGAAACTAGACGCTGTTGATATTTCACATCTTGATCTGAGAAATGTTTTACTGTTATTAAAGGTATGGTATTTGTTATGTCCTTAGCTTATACGATTATCGCGAAATGCGATTGCCAGTTAAGGTACGCTGACCTATAAAACCAACTAATGATGCATACACATATACGAATAGCCTAGAGTCCCGATTGGCCTTTTTCTTCGCCTAGCACTGACAGTTGATGCCAGAAAACCAATACCAGCTTCCACAACGAACGTGATCAAGAAACAACAAGTATAAAATAATAATTACATCGAAGATCCGTAGAAAAATAAATGTTGAGTACATCTGGGCTGTTGCCCAAAGCCTCCAAAAAGTGGTTATGACCATATTACGAGTCTTAATAAAAATAATTGCATTTCTTAATACGATTCAACAGTCAGATTTGGTTTGGTTGTCACTAAACCCTTTAGTCAAATGTACCTGTTTTGCAATCATAAAGTAATAAAGGACGAACTGCCGAGTAGTGAAGTTGGCCATAATAAGGTAGAACACTAACACCATACATAACATTATTCGAGAGAACTTAAGCAAGGATTTAATATTGAGTTTGTTAGTCACTAATTGACTGGGGCTGATCACATTCAATATAAGTAAATTGGTAAAAAAAGATTGACTGTTTTATTCTTTATGGTCAGACCAATGTCGCAAATTATTGTGAAGAAACGTTTTGGATTGTATGGAAAACAGACGCGTCCTGAGTACTTCTTTATTGTTCGTGATGGTTCACAGTATTTCATTGACAATATCAGAACTGATATTTGACCAGGCTTTTTTGGAATATGTGCATACCAAGCAAATGCCTCCATTTTACCCTTTTTGTAATCATTCAAGGTAAACAATCTCCATAGCATAATATTGGCTGCAAAAGCAAGTCCCCATGAAGCTCATAACAATTATGGTACAAATGTTATTTGCATTTATGTTTTACCAAGATATTATTAAATAAAATTCATCAAGAGGAAGGTAATAACAATGAAGAAATAATCCTCATATAAACTTTCTTGTAACTGAATCAATTTGTAAAGGTGAAGTGTAAACCGTTGTGTTTTTATAAGCTCGGCTAATTATCACGTGACTTATTCGCCAATAGGAATATGACTTATACAATCTTAGCCCTGTGCCAAACCAATGATATATAGACCTGTATGAGCAGTCTCGAGTCCCGGTTGGTCCTTTTCTTCGCCTAGCACTGACAGTGGATGCCAGAAAACCAATACCAGCTCCCACTATATCTATCACATATTTCAAACATACTAGGTTTATATACAAACCAAACAGACCGCATCACACCATAAAGTAGAAAATAACATTTATCCAAGATCATGCCAAATAGTGGCTGCGATTGTGGGAAACTGTAATTAATAAACTGGAAACAACTCAAAAACAGTAAATTATATCAAATAGTCTATAGGTCAAAATAAAGCTTATGATAAGACGACTATGATCATACCTAATCTAGTTACCTAATAAATATACGACATGAATATACGTGTAATATTAGTCCATAAATGAATCCCAACAGTTACTTTTGATTATTGTTGTCATTATTAATTATGATAATTTTTAACACCGATCAGATAGCGGCCAAATTTGATCATTATGACCATTTGGATTCTTGAATTCAAATTTCTCTATTGTTATAGATGGTATAATTCTATGGAGTTTCAAACCAATGAAATTGTTTCTTCAGCCATAATCAAATAGTTAAGTTAAATGAATTCATTTAGGGATTTTGTCTATTTACACAGTGTTTTTTCGGTCCTGACTCATCATATTATTATACAAATGGTGTTTATTCCATGATACTTGTTTTAAGTCTACTGTGAACAATCAGTTGAGTACTGTTGGTTTACATTTATATTGCGGATTAATCATTATGTGGATGTTGCTACCAACTGTTTAACTGATAATAATTTGATCTTGTTTAGCACATGTAAATGCTTGTAGTTTCAGTAAGTTAGAGATTATCTACATCGCCCTAAACCGTATCTTTGAATGTTATCATTTTAAATTTCATAATCCATATCTATTTCTTCATTACCTTCGAATCCTTTACTGGCAGGTACTTACAAACACGTAATGTAATCAAAATGCTTAGTGTCATAAAATACTGTACAGCGTTCACACTATTCAGTTTAGTGATTACTATGCAACAAAAACTTTGTCAGTGATGTCTATTCGTAACATTGATTATCATTCAGGAATCAGTTAACTGTGATATCTAACAAATCTTGTTGTTTGCAAAACTAGTCAAGTAAGGATTGTAAAATGAAATTGACACTGGTCATATTTTATAAGTAATGGAGTGTTGAGCATGTAGGATTTCATACTGCTTGGCTAATGAATGTGTCGTGCTTAATAAAATTCACGCGTTCATAGTGTATTTCATCAAACGAGAATTCATTAAATTATATACATGTATAACTATCGTTCGTTTTCATGTTATGCAATTGTTCTCGGCTGACCATAGATCGCAAATCAATTCAAAAATTCATTTACTTAGAAATTAAAGCCTTAGTAAAGTTCAAGTATTCACGATAAAATTCATTATAATAGTAATAATAATGTTGTTTTTATCTGTTAATTACAGTTGTAGAAAGCGGTACATGCTTTGCTCAATCTGGAAGTAGTTTTTCGCTAACTGATAGCCTTTATTCAGTGGCAGATTCAACTAATGTAAGTATTATCATGGTTGATGTTGTATTTATATAAAGGTTTAACACAAACTGAAGATAAATTTTATCACGATCGGCGAATGTTTGCCAACAGACAGATATGTCTTTACTTTATTTCCAGTACGTAATGAGACCTCAGTAATACACAATGATAATTCCATACAATCTAACGCTGAACACCTTCAAATCTCAACAAAAAGTAATCTATTCTGTTAATCAGTAATGCCTTTTCCAAATATAAAATTTCTAGCGTTTTATTTCATATATTGTGGCGTGCAAAGTCAACGAAGTTGAATATGAAAGAAAGTAATAAGCAGTTGACACTGAATAAATCAAATTAATCCCTATTAATTTTAAATTGTTCAAATTCCCCCTCTTCAATAACATACTAAATTTTTCATTGTGAAACCTACCTCAACCCTCATGGATACGATCCTTCACAGAAGATTATCGATGTGTACTATTGATAAGTTCAAACCTATTGTAACTTGGGTCAACTGACATTTTTGCTGAACTCCACGTTGATTATTATTGATTGACCTGTCACTTTGTTTAATTATCCAATTTGTTTTGTCTTGAAAAGTATCTGTCTCCAAATCTTTTGAGTTCATATATAGACACACAAAGTGACTGAGGAAAAATGTCAACAAGTAAACAATTCATCAAGGTCGAATGATATTTCGAAAAGAATGTACTGCACTATAAAACAAGTTTCTAAGAAAAGAAATTCTTATTTAATACATAAAAGGAAATTATATTTGTGAAATTTTCAGCAGTTGAAATTAAGAATAATTTCAATGTTCCTCGTGACAGTTTGGTCTTCTTCAGCAAATAATTAAAGAACGAAATTGCCAAACATAAATAGGGTTCACAGAACAACTGTATACCAAAACATTGTCCAATCCTGTTAAAATGGTGGATTTGGATTCTGTTAGGTGTGAATATAAATCTTTGTATGTCCACAAATATCCCTCGAAATAGTTTCCTGTGTCCCGGGAAAAGACTGAAAATGTTTTGTCCACCTACTATTGACTAGAAACTTCTAAACATCAAGAAAAATAAAGATTGGATAATTACCTAGATTTTTACTATATCCAGTTGTGGATGACTAAGGTCACATGAAAGTATGTAATTACATTGCATTTTCTACACAGAATTATGCTTGTAGTAAAGCTGCTACTGACATTTAGTACATTTTCTCTAATGTTCGAGTTGCAGCGTAGAAATTACTGGGGGTTATAGAGAGCGTCTTGCTAGTCAGTAACAAATGTTCAACAAGCAGATCTGTCACTGTGATCACATAAATATAATTCTGTTGTTCTCCCCTTGGTACTGTATTTTTGACTTTTACTAGCATTGAACTATATGTATTGTTCGTTCGGAAAAATTACTCTTATATCACGATGATTTAGGTTCCTCTGAAGTTCCTCTATTATATGAGATAGGCAGAAAGTTGATCTATACTTCTGGTCTATCCTGCACGTTTTCTTGACCTTCCTTAATTCTTTTTACTATGATCCTAGCATAATTATTCATCATCAGATCCTTGACAACTGTGATCTTGGTTGATACAACGTGTACTAACTTGTAATATAGATGTTTTCAAGAATCTTTTGATTTGAACTGTCTAAGATGCATAGCAACCTTTAATTCATAGGGTCAGGTCGAAATCAAAGTGTAAACTAGTAAATAAACGGTTTTTTGCATGCATGAAATATTTATTCTTACTAGTTGATGTTTAATCAACTGGAAGAATTCCAGTATATACATTTGACTTTCAGACAGTCAGAGAAAATCGGAGGTTTGAATGCTAACTTTGTGCTAGTTAACATCCATGAATAGAGAGTATCTATAATCTAAATGCGAACTGATGCTCTTCAAAGGAATCAAACCTACATCAGCTATTGTTACGTTAGTGTCATTGATCTATTTTAATCGTGAGTAAAATGTAAGCCGTAGATGTTGAATTTACCATATTTCACCTGTGTATAACTACCTATATGATTTGAAGCCTATCTGAATAAGTGATATGTTTAACTTACTAGACATTTGTTGACTGTTCGCTCATTTAATGTGCACAAATAGTTGGACAACACATACTATTCAATTATATCATTAATTAATGTCATTCAATATCTGTATTTTGTTAGTCATTTTCATTGCTGATTTCCATTTCTTCACTTCCTTCCCTCTTCCCAAATATGAGATGGTCGATGAATACTTATCATTCAAGAATATGCGCAAAATAATTAGTAAGTTTATTATTTAAGAAATTTTGATTTTAGTAGTCAGAATTTCCGCTCTATTACTTTCATAACATGAGATTTCATCGTAGTTTATGCTGTTACAAGAAGAATTCTGGCTTATCGATTCTAGAAACCACTCTATAACTAACGGTGTGTAACACTTGACTTGTTGACAATTAGATATTGAAAGTAAAATACAATGAATAACCTGAATCGTTATTGTAGTGCTTTGCTTTCAAAGAGGTGGCTAAGTGGATAAGGTGTTCACCTTTCAGCCATTAAGTCTCGAATTCGAATCCCGTCCCACCTACTTCAGTCTGGGCTATGTGTAGCTTCGATAGCCATCACATTTGTAGCCATTACACGAATCTATACCTGATAAATGAGAGAGATTTGTATGGTTTTCAAATGCCTTTTTCGCAAAAAAACCAATATCAGTTAGTTGATTAGTCATAACTGGGGAGTACTCTGCATCCCAGTTCCGAGCCTATATACATTCGAACTCCATATGACTATCATCAGGTCTTGTTATAAGCATAATATTTCAGATCACTGAGTTGGAATGCAATATCGTATTTTTTCAATTTCAGTCAACTTTTATTATGTGCTACAATCCTCATTAATCTTCTCTTCGGTCATTTACTGCTCCATTCCTAACTTGGTTTACTTTGGCTCATTTGTACTTTCTAAGTAGTATGAAGGTGAATTCAAAGCGCCATGAATTATTATTAGAATATGTATAGATTATTTTGTTCTTACTATCTCGTTGTTATTGCTCAAACACATCTAATTTCGATTTATTTTCTGTACATTTCCTACCTTTTATAAATTCAATCATAAAATGATAAGTAGTTCGATATTTTTTATACTATTCTCAATTTATACTATTCTGTGCGATCAAGATATTCGCTCCACTCCATAATCATTTTGCATTTAAGAAGCAAAATGAAATAATAGGGGATTAGACTCAATAAAAATAAGAAATAACGAAAGTACTCTAAAATTTGTTAAGTTTTTTTATAGTCTCAGTTTGTGTATTTGTTGGATCGAACAATTGGGTCGTGTGATCCGTTTAGCGCACATCAATTATCCAGTTTCAGTTAAATTATGTGTTTTGAGCGAGAATGATTAACTTTATCTCATCTCATTTACTACTTCTATTATATATATATATTTACTGGATAAATCATTAAACGTATTCGATTGTTTTGTAGCAGTTTTTATTTCGTGTTTAAGTTATTGTTTAACTTCTGGTATTTCTTAACCGCACACATTATTCATTGGTACTCTCTCCGCCTGATGCCAATTTTTAATGAAAATTAACTTAAATTCTCTGTATAAACATAAAATTTGGTTTATAAACAAAAAAGAAATGATTATGAAAGTGCATAAAGAAGAAAGTGGCAAAAAGTTGATGTTTAAATATATTTTGTAGAACTACATTTCTTTTTCGTATGTTAATTTTGGATTTAAACTTACACAGTCTGACTACTGATGGTAATTTCTAGGCGAACAATGTTTATTATACTGTTTTACTCATAGGAAGAGATACATTCATATGTATGTATATTCATTTTTACATAATTAGATTTACCATGCATACATATTTGTATACTAATGAAATAATGACTGATTGAATGAGTAAAGTATTTTTCAACCAATTAGTAATTAGATCATATCCATTTGTACACATAAGAAAGAAATAGAGTGATCTCTATAAACATACTTAGTTATATCCATACATTTACATTTGTTATGTTTACATTTATTGTAAGTCAACTAGTTACATTGTGTTTATATATATATATATATATATATATATATATATATATATATATATATATATATTAGGTGCCTGTCTGTGTATTGTATACAAGCTAGTTAAATTAATTATGTATTTAGAATTATTGAAATGTAAATGTTTATAAACAGGTAGAATTTGTAATATATGTTGAGTGTAACTGTGGAAATGAAGGACACATTAACCAGCTTTACAATTACACTTAACAATATGAATTTTTGGTAGATTTGGATTTCAGGGTGAAACTATAATTTATGGACACCCCTTTGCGACTCCCAAAGTGACCTTAAGAAAACTTACCTACTTGCTAGGATCGAAGTTAGAAGTTAGTATTAAGAAGCAAAGTTTTGGTTTTCATCACGAGTTAACATTAGTTATAATGTCAAATTGCTATTCAGCCACATGGATTAATGAACTTCGTGCTGAGATCCAAGATTAGCTATCTTTAGTTTCATTGGTTCGTCCATAAATTGTAGTCTCTCCAATTTCGGTTGTCCATTCAATCCAGGACACCCATTTTGTCTTATTCCGTACTCTTTATGCAACTGTCCAAACATCACGATATTAATATTCGTACTAGAATTCCAGCCTAATTTATTTAAGCTTCAACGTCTTACAATGTTCATGTGTTAACAGAGACTGACCATTTGCGATCTTGGATCGCAACACCGTAAAACAAAGTTCAAGCTTGTAAACTGTCTGAAGAGTTTTTTTATTACATGTGTATATATATATATATATATATTACATTTATATTACATGTGTACGGAAGAAGTTACTTATAACAGGTTATAAATGGTAATATTAATGTTAAGTTCATATATATATATATATATATATATATATATATTATTATTATTATTAGATGGCATATCGACAGTAATACGTTGACCTTTCAACAATAGACGCAAACTAAGAAATATGAAGGTTCTTCAAAAGACCTTTTAATGTTTTAATTGTATATTTAGTATTATCGATTACATACTTTGTATATTAACCTAACTATTTTTTAGAACGGACATATAGTTTCGAAGATCAATTGTGAGGAAAAGATAAAATTAGGCAGGGTATAAAGTTTTCTAACTTGAACGAAATTCAATGAAAAATGTTGATATTTTAAAATCCATAGTAGTGATCATGGCTTGATAAGATTGTTTTAAGATAACTGAAACGTATCTGTTAAACTACCGAATATACTACTATCTTTCTTAATAGTACCTCGTTTTAAACTATTTGAAGATTTAAATTTGTAAATAAAATATGTTAGTTCGTTTTTACAGATCAGCTCTGATAACCTTTAATACTTTAGAAAAAGAATAAACAGCATACTAGTACGATGTACTTTGTGAAATCTTTTGCGTATGAAAAGTTAGAAATAAAAGTGGAATTAAGCTACTCAATATTTTCTATGGACGCATTGAAAATAGATTTATAAGAAAATTGATCTTACTTTAGGATTAAATTCATTGTCGAAGGGGTACAAAACTACAAACTTACAATCTTCAATAATTTTTTGTATGTTCAGTTTTTTTATAATATTAATATTTTTATAATATTATCGGACGTCGAGGTGTTGGCACAATCAGACCACGCATCTGGCTCAGATGATACATAGATGACACATTTATCACTATTAAAAAGACTTAGAAATTTCTCCAAACACATAAACATACTCACATAACACATCAAATTCACTTTCAAAAAAAGATGAACGTAGCGAACTACCTTTCTTAGACTGTTTAGTTAAAAGCAGTTCCAATGTTAGTGTAAATCAAACCGTATATCGAAAACCGAAACATTCAAATCGGTATATTGATTTGAACTTCGAGATATTTGGGATTAAATCTCTATATTTTTAGTTTAAACATACTATATAGAAGTATTTATAATGGCTTGTATTACATCGTGTTGCTAATATTCAGAGCTAAATGTTTTGACTGTTCTTTGTTAGCATATACTCATCTTCGGTAGATAGGTCCATTAATCTTGTAGATTTTAAGTTATTAGCAGTTGAATCCAGAATATATGTTTCATCCTATTTAGGATTCTTCATACAGATGTGCCTTGCCTACTTACGCCTGTTACTTCTCGTGGAGCATTTCCCTCTGACCAGGATTCTCCAAGGAACTCTGTCCTGGGCTCTCCTTCTTAACTTTTTCTAAGTGATATCCATTTTTAATGTCTGCTTTCAATTCTCGGAGCAATGTGTTCTTTGATCGGCCCCCTTCCTTCAGGATCTCAAGTGAGCGTTTGCCTCATGACGCAGTTTAATAATTTCATAATGTTGCCCTACCCACCTCCAGCGTCTCCTGTACTTGTACATGATCGAAATTCAGTCCTCTTCAGTGCGATAATTCTCATTATTACTGACTGCTAACTTGTATGGAAGATCAGAGCAATCACTTATCGTCCCAATATATAAGAAAGGGTCAAAATCATCCTGTGACAACCACAGAGGGATTAGTTTAACAAACATAGTATCTAAAATACTGGCCTCGATAATTATCAAACGCCTAACTAAGACTCGTGAACTACAAACACGAGAGAACCAAGCTGGCTTTAGACCTGGTCGTGGCTGCATCGACCACATATTCACCATTCGTCAGGTTCTAGAACACAGGCATACCTATCGGCGTCCGACGATGGTGGTCTTTCTTGACTTAAAAGCAGCATTTGACTCTGTAGACCGCGAGACTCTGTGGCAGTGTCTGTCATTGAAAGGCGTACCTCAGAAGTACATAAACCTTGTGAAGGCTCTTTACTCGAACACTACTAGTCGAGTCAGGGCTTATGGCGAACTGTCATCTACTTTTGCAACCTCAAGTGGTGTCCGTCAAGGCTGCCCACTTTCTCCATTTTTGTTTAACTTCATCATAGACCTATTGATGGAAATAACACTCTCGTCGACTGAATTCTCGGGTATTGATCTCCTTCCAGGAGGTCCACTTATCGACTTAGAATATGCAGATGACATAGTCCTGTTTGGTGAAGACGCTGACAAAATGCAGAGTCTTCTGGTAGCACTAAGCAACAATGCCAGAATGTTTGGGATGCGCTTCTCTCCCTCTAAATGCAAGTTGTTGCTTCAGGACTGGTCTGCGTCAACACCTGAACTAAGGATAGGGAGTGAAGTAGTCGAACGTGTTGACAACTTCACTTATCTTGGAAGTCTGATCAGCCCTAATGGGTTGGTGTCTGACGAAAT